CAAACCCATGCTATACCTGAGATATATAGATGTCATCTTCATCATATGGATTAAAAATCCTGAAGTCTGTGATTTATTTCTATCACAAACTCAACAATAAACACCTCTCCATCAGACTCTGTCTTGAATACTCCAACACCAACATTTCCTTTGTAGACACCATGATCAATATCTACAATGGTAGAATACAAACTACCATATACAAGAAACCCACAGACCAATATACACAGAACCAGCAATCACCTTAAACACAACAAAAACGTTGTGATTTACAGCCAAGCTCTCTGATACCACTGAATTTGCACTAAGGAGAATACCCATGATCATCACATCACAAATGGGTTTTCACTCAATAAGGACACTCCTCTATAGAGATAGACTGCACTTTTGAAAGAGCCACCTGGATACCACATGAAGAATTGCTGCAGTATAAAAAGAAAATCCCCATGAATCACACATCATTAGTTATGACATACCATCCTTCCCTGGAACCCATACTAGAAGAAGACCCAGTTCTTAAAGAGAACCATCCTAGCCTTTAAACAAGCACCGAATCTTGCTAACCTCATCACCAGAAGCAAACTTCCTATGACCCAAACCACACAAAATGGATCCAGACCATGCCAAGACAAGAAATATAAAACCTGCCAACACCTCTGCACCAGTCCTAGAATAAGTGTACCCCACAACAGAACCATTACCATTCCTGGATCTTACACCTGCACCTCCAGAAATGTAATATATCTCATCCAGTGCACCAAATGCCCTGAAGGAAAATATTTAGGAGAAACCAAACAACAACTCACTGCACACCAGAATGAACGCACACCGAAAATCCATCAAAGACAAAAAATATCCAGTTACCTCTGGGGGCCTACTTCTCACAAGACAAGCATTCCCTCTCCAATCTCTCAGTTCTAATCCTAAAAGGGAACTTACAAAATACTTTTTTACCTTGAAGAACTCGTAACATCAGCAGAGACTCCCACTGCCTGAAGAAGAATGTTTGTGCCCAAAAGTTTGCAAATAACGTTTTTTCCAACTATTTAGTTGGCCTAATGAAAGGTATCACATCAACCCAAAGAATCTTGCCTGCCAATATCTGCTGAAGAAAGTCCTTTAATTTCTCACATTTTAAATGGTTTTGTGAAAATGAACATAGCAACATTACTTCATAGTTAAACTTTCAACCATTACTTGATTTTTTTTATGCTGAAGGGATGACTCATTTAAAATAACATCATTAAATAACGCAAGGTAGGCCACAGAGCTTTATTTTATATTGCAGTGGTGGCAAAACAAACATCCTAGATCACTAGCTTGCCAACTACACTTCTACAAAGTACCTTACTTATTAATTGGGCCAACTAACAGTCTACTTCAGAATTAAAATTTCCTTTCCCCAGCTGCAAGATTAAAATTGTAATTTATCAAGTTTAGCTAATAGAAAGGGATATAACTACTTTACTTTTTCATTATATTTGATTACTACTTTTGTTACAAGAGTTTATTTGAAGTCATCTGTGGGCAAGATAACTTAGATCCCATATCTAATATTCATGATATAAAATAGTTTGTATTAAGTTATTCAACAGTTGTCCAGTTAATTGGCTAGCTGATTGATCCAACTCCATTCTGTTACTTAATAAACAGCATATTCCATTTGCTTTTATTCCTTTCAGTTCAAAGTTCATAGCTTATCACCAAGGTAGTTGCTATGCCTATTATATATAAGATTGTCTACCATTAGCTGGCTTATTAAATAGAAATACAGCTTCAGGCATTGATTCAGGAAACCATGTTTCTATGGGAAAAGTACTTAAGTACAAATGCTACAATGAATGGTGGTGGACTTTGTAGATGATTTCCCTAATTGCAAGCCTTCGGTTTTGAGTAATTAAATGATCAGAGGAGAGAAGTTGGGCTACAATAGCCTTATGGCAGCTACACACAGCTCTGATAAGTTACATCTTGTGGTTTGAGTAATACTTTGCTACTACCTTTTGAACGATTCCACCCCACCCCCCACCGACTACTCTGTTTGTACAACCAAATTATTGTAAACATCTATACAGAATGGCAATAAATATATTAAAAAAAGATAGTACAGAAAATTGTATTTGATGTTTATATATTTCCTTGCATCTTTTTTGACAGATTAATTTCCATTAAGGGTGATTCAAGCCACAAAGTTCCATTCCAATCTGATCACTACATTTTAGCAGTGGCTTATTACCTTCTTAGTCTGTTTGATAAGACTTCCAAAACAGTTTCTCATTAAATTCACCTGCTTTTTAGTTTCTAAACTTTATCAGACCTCAAATACTGGAAAAATGCAGTTTCTATTTTGGGAGAGGGTCTTGTCAGTTCTTATACTGTCAAACCAAGTGACCCATACTGTATTTACTTGCATACCACACACACTTTTTCCTGAAAAATTAGGCCTTCAAAATTGAGGTATAGATACTAGAATGGCTGCTAGGGGCTGCACTCCTCTGGCTGCATGGAAGAGGGGTAGAATCCATTAATCATCATCGCTCACTCTCACTATAGCTCCACAGCTAGAGTTTTAATTGACTTGCAGCCATGGCTGGGAGCATACATCCATGGTGAGCCCCTGCTATGAGAGGTACGGTTCTAGAAAAATCTTTCTATCTTCTTTCTACCTTCTAAAAAAGAGGTGCAAGTCATACTAAAGGAAGTATGGTATGCAAGTAATCATGATAATAAGTAAAGAATTGTGGACTAGAATAAAGTATTTTAACATGAATATATCTAGCTGGGTCATCATACTCAATAAGTAGTCATCAATGGCTCAATATCTAGTTGCAAGGAGGTATCAAGTAAGTGTCCCAAGAGTCTGTCGAGGGTCCAATATTGTTTAATATCTTCATTAATGTTTTGGATGATGGGATTGAATGCACACTTAGCAGATTTGTGGATGATACCAAGTTGCAGTGGTGACGCTTAGGGGGTGCATGCATAGTGGGTGCCCCTGAGAACACTGGTGCATCCCGTCACAGCTGGCAGTCCCCACTTAGGCAACGGGCAGGGGGGGCAGGTGGGAGCATCAGTGTCCCCCCTGTGAGCACTGGCCAGGGAGTGCAGGCGTCAGGAGAAGCGTCGCTGGCACTTCCAGGAGTGCAGCTGGCACTTCTAGGTGCCCTGCTCATGCTTCCTGGTCGGTGAGATCTGCCACAAGGGGACACCCCCCCACCCCTGGTCACTGACTGGCCTCTGGGGAGGTGGCATGTTCCCCCCCAATGCAGGAGCCACCAATTTCCCATGCCAAGTTGGGTGCATTACCAGACATTTTGGAAGGTAGGAATAGGATCCAGAATGACCTGGGTAAACTGGAGAAATGGTCCAAAATCAATTAGATGAAACTCACCAATTACAAGTGCAAAGTCCTACACTTAGGACCATGAACGACTGGTACCTCCCGAGACTGGGGGGGGCACTATTTGTAGGCAGCAGCAGGGACTGCTTGCAGATGCCAGTGGCAGTGTTGGTGGGGGGTGAAGGGAGGATGGTGTGTAGCGAGTAGCAAGCAGGGACCACCCGCAGACACTGGCAGCCATGCCAGCGGCAAGGAGGGGGGTGGTGAGCAGCGAGTGGTGAGCAGGAACCTCCTGCAGACAATGGTGGTGGGAGGGGGGAGTGGGTGGTGACCAGGGACCACCCACACAAGCTGGTGGTGGCCAATCTCAGGGGGAGCACGTGTCTCCCTGTGTCCCCCCCGCCTCCCCACACACATTGCCTATGCTTAGGACAGAGTAATGCATGCACAAATAAAGACTGGGGAGTGATTGGCTATGCTATGATACTGCAGAGAAAGATCTTAGGGGTTATAGTAAACCATGAGCTGAATATAAGCTAACAGTGTGATCTTGCAAAAAACCCCAAAAATCAATGGCATATTGGGTTGTTTTAACAGGAGTTTCACTTGTAATTGAAGGAAAATGATTCCTTTGCTCTGTTCATCCCTGGTGAAACTTTATCTGGACAAACCACTGTCCAGTCTTGGATCCCACACTTCAAGAAAGATATGGGTAGATTGGAAAGTGTCCAATAAAGAGTGATAAAATGATTAGAGGCGTGGGAAACATGGCTTATGAAGAAAGGGTGAAACAACTGGATTGTTTAGTCTGGGAAACAGAATATAGAGGGGGTATTTGATAAAAAAAACTTCAAATACCTGACAGGTGTTTATAAAGAGGATGGAGATATACTATTCTGTCTGACTGTAAGGGCATAGGAGACTAAGCAGGGGATCTCATGAGGTCTCATCCGGCCATACTTTCAAATGATCCTATAATCCAATTTACAAATTTAGGTGCAAACCACGTTCAAATTTCCAGTAATAATAATTGTTTCTTAAGGCCTTGGGGGTCAATGGAAAGTCTTTCACTGACTTCATTGAACTTAGGTTTGCTTACTGAATACGGTAATTAAATATGGGCAGTAAAAATGTTTGGAATATTGAAATTATGTTAGCAGTAATTTATATGAATGCCTTATTTACATAGCTGACCTATTTGGCACCTATAAATCTAAATAGTTCTATCTTGTAAAGCATCTCTACAGCAAACATTAATTTTATATATATATGTGTAAGATGCATAGTTAAATGTTGACAGCTTTATATTTTCTCTAGCTGTTAAATAAAATTAAAGGAAAAGAATACATAGATATGCATCCAGATTTGCATATTGTCCATTAAAATGCATTTTAATTCTTATGGAAAGCAAACAGAAAAAAGCCATTTGAACTAAATGAGGCTGATTACTAATCAGAAATCCTATTTAAAAGGTCTAATAATTAATATTGTTTTTATGACAGTAAAGCTATCTGTTAAAAATCCTCTTGCTAATAAAATGTTTATTTTTCCATTGTCCAGATGTAGATAGACATCTTTTGCTATTAATTGTTTGTTAATAACTTATTTTATTCAATCTATTTTTATTTTTCATGATTTTTTTTTTCAAATACTGTTTCAGGTACATCCATAGGGCATTGTGATTTTGAATTTGATCTTTGTGACTGGGAGCAAAGCAGGAAAGATGACTTCGACTGGAATCTCAGAACTGGCAGCACTCCAAAAATTGGTACTGGGCCAACTGCTGATCATACCTTGCAAGGGCCATCTGGTCATTACATCTTTATAAAGAGCTCATTCCCTCAGTTGCCAGAGCAGAAAGCCAGGATTTCTAGTCCCATGCTAAGTGGAAACAGCAAAAATTGCAAGGTATGCCAAGGAATAATGCTAGCAAGAAACAGCTTGTTTTGTTTTGTTTTTAGAACGCAACAAGGTAATCACTACTCTGATACTGGTTGATCTCACTAACTTGTTTCTTAAAGAACACAAGTATGTTCTAAAAACACTATAGCCCCTATCTTTTATTGGGCTTGAAACTATAATCAAACAAGCACTTTGTTTTTCAGAAAATTAGAGTAACTGAATTCTGCCAATGAATATTCTGGGAGATCCAGAAGTAGTCAAGAATATTGTCTCTTCAGTGTCTGGTCTAGAAAATGCCTTATGCATAAGCTACACACATCCCCTTTGTGCTCTTAATGGATAAATTTAACAGAGGACATTACCAACTGCATAAAAACAATGCAACTGCAAATGGAAGAATATATGATAAGAAGACTGATCTATTATGTAGACTTATCAAAGTGCTACAATATATAGTTTTAATCTCTCCTGACATGTCTGGCAGAGACATGGCAACATGGATTCAAAGGCTATTTACTTTCAATGTACCTTCTGCCTTCTTTACTAACAGTGTGTTTTGTAGCTTCTTAACACATTGACTTAAACAGATATTCTTATAGTGGCTCTAGGCACAATGTATTAGAAAGGGATTTCTGGATGTTGAAAGGAGAGATTGCCTTTTTCCTACAATTACTTACTCTATTTAGAAACTTTATTTTCCAACACAGTAGGCATTTCTTGTTTTCAATTGTACATAAGGTTTTTCCAGGTGTAGACAAGTGGGATTGACATTTCAGACTAACAGAGTTTTTAAGAGTTAGAGAAACCAGAATGCTTTAAAATATGAATGCAAGTATAGCAGTGCATTTATTTATCTATTTAAATAATAAATTTTGCATCCGATTCAAATACGTACCTGACCTCTCTATATATTTTAACTATAAATAAAAAGTAAATGTGTTTTCCATCATCCTTCCTTCTTTCTCCTACACATTCATCACATCCATAAAAGCTAAGGCAATTAACCTAGTGAATCTTAAATTAAAAATAGCCTTCAAGAAACACAAAATAAATTAACAAATACTAGATAGAGCATTTGTTATTTTACTATTACCATGTAAAGTTCTGCCCACCATACTTGCAGACATCCACTTCAGCTTCTTAGGTTAATTCATTTGCTCCTACATCTGCTTAACAGTTCTTTGATACTGCATCATTACGTGAAGTATCTGCACTACCAAGCATATGGCAGAAATTCTTAATCCATCCTCACACAGGAAATCCAACTCTAGTCCCCTGTCTGAGAGACAGTACAAGCTTTATATGCTTGTATATGCACAAACAGTATACGTACGAGCATTATCATTGTAGTGTATGTTAGCCTGTAAAGGAGGTTGTTTAATATTCTTCTGTTAGGATTCTGTGGAAATTAGTTTTGTTTTGCTGGTTTACATCTTTTTTTGGCCACTTTATCTAATTTTGGTTCCATATAGAATCTAGACATTTCAGGAGGGTAACTCTATTAGAAGTCACCTTGATGATGAAAATTTCAATTTGATTTCTCAAAAGCCATTGATTTAAGCTGATGACATTGACCCTCTGAGTATACCAGCACACAGCTGCTCATTGGAACTAAGAAAGTCCAAACCAGGAAAACTACTAAAGAGATTTACTGTGTGAATGGCATCTCAATCCAAAATTTCAAGCGTTTTTTTTATCCATTACTCACATGGTTTATATTGCTTATTTATAGAGAGAACCAAAAGTATGACCAAAATGGAAGGAGATTATCACTTTTTAAAAAATGTTTTAAGTTGGTCTGATATTTTTCAGTTCACTTGCTTTCATTTGCTCTGGCCTCATGCCAAATGTCAAGCACCTTTATAGGTAAGAAACTCAGGAAACGTTAAATAGAAATGGTCAGATTTTATGAAATAAATATAACATTAATAATTTCATTTTGTCAATGGGGAAAAATAAACTAGCCACTAAAAATATAACTTGGAAAATTTGGACCATAAATTTATGTTTTCTAAGGCAATTCTTTTGCAGCCTTTAAAATATACATATATATATATGGGAAAAGCGTCTCCCTCCTTCATTTGGCCTAGATACTCCTCATGATTTTTCAGGCTCATATTTCTCCATGTTAACTTGTTTGTCTTTATGCTCTGAGAATCTGTTTTAACATCTGTGTGATACCAATAAAATAGTTTAGAAGTAATATAGATTACTAATGATGAATGGTTCATTATATGAATATTTATTCTATGCTGTATATAAAATACAAGGAAACATGTGGAAGGATAATTGTTGGCAACAATTAGCTTTTCTGTGTATAAATATGGTTAGTGGGCATATGGAGTTGCCTAAATTTCTTTAAATAAAATATATTAAGTGTTTGACATGGTGGCATAAACTTTTTTTCCTAACATGTTTTGAAAATCTCCAAATAGTTTTGAAATGCTCCTTTAGACCTCTTCTTCCAGAGACCTTATGTTTGAAATGGACTGAATGCATACATTACTGGCTTGCTTTGTAAATTGTACACAACTGCATTTCAATTCTCAGAAGAGATGGAATACATTAGTGATTGAGAGGGGAAGCAGACATAGAATGGAATAAAGATTATAACAGAATAACCCTTTTCAAATATATAGGGAGACATACCATCTTCCATTGCTTCTACTGATAAACGTGATACTGAAGTCAACAGACCAGTGTATTGATGTGGCATAGGTAATGCTATATTCTACAAAAATAGCTGTTTCAAGGCCCCAGATATCAGAAGAGTCTGTTTATTTTGACCCTAGAAACATCATGGGCTTAAATTCTTTGGTGTCAGTAAAGATACTACATAAGTATATACTGCATTGAGGTCAGAAATTGAAATATGGGCCCAGGATTTCACCCAGAGGAGATGTAAAAATGTAAAACAAAGTAGAAAGCAAGATAGAACATGATAGTTTAAAGACAAGCTATATTCAAGCAAAAGAGTATCAGAAATGAAAGGCAGTGCAAGAAATACCAGTTGAAAAAGAACACACACTGCAGCAGCAAACTATAAGAACAAAACTAAAAGTAAAGAGAGAATCCAAGCAAGAAGAGGCAGACATGAAACAAAAATGTTAAAGTAAGTTTGGAGGAAGAAGCTAGGCTACCAAAGAGTCCAAGATAGTCTGCTAGATTTTAATTGAGGTAGTAAAAGGATGATCTGGGTTTTTTAAGATGAATGCTGAGCAACTTAAATGATTTCTTTGAATTAGTATTCACTACTGAGCACCAACAAAACATGCCAACTGCAGAGCTATTCTTCCTGCTAATAAAGATGAGGCACTGTCAGAGAATCAGGTGCTAAAATAGGTGGCACTGGAACAAAATCCTAGTTTAAATTGCAATAAGGATCTCGACCAGATGGTTTACATCTAAGGTTTCTGAAAGTAAGTTGCTTAAAAAACCCCAAAAAGGAGCCTTGTTTCCATAACAGAAATTATAGACAATGTAGATGCAATTTATTTTGAGTGATAAAAAAATCTTTGATCAATCTTTTTTCCCCAAAAAAGAAGATTATAAAAGGAAAAAAAGAAGATTATAAAAGGAAAAAAAGAAGATAAATAGTTGTGTAGCATGAGACAAAGGTGTGCTTAAAAGAGAACTATGTTTAGAGAACTGAAGTATGATAGTCTGAAAACTGGTTACAAGATCTAGGTCAGGGAATAAACAGTTAATATCCATTCTGGAATACAGCAAGTACTGGTGTGACCTTTGATCCTGCAAGGACATGCACGTACTTTGAGCATGCTAACAACAAACTGAACTTTCAGTTAAGCTTGTAAAAAAATGTTTGTAGAACTGGGGGGGTGTAGTGTCTGATATATTTATTAATGATCTAAATTAGAATGGGTGAAAAACACAAAATTCAGCATTGACAAATGCAGAGTAATACATATTAGGAAGTGCAAATGAACTGTGCTTACTACTTAGTAGGGATTAAATGGGATGTATTTGCTTAGGAAAATGCCATAGTGCCATATCAAATGTGGTCATGTAGGTGCCTTCAGTTAGGTATTGGAGTGTCTAAAACTTAGGATCCCTTTATAGTCAATCCTTTTACTTGCTTGAAGAGTACCTCTGACAGTACCTAGAGTTAGTTCATAGAAAATACTTTAAGCACAAAGGTATAGATGAACTCCTACCACTTTCCACAATTCAGGAGACTACATCAGGCTACAGATTAGGTTCCACAGTTCATTCTGTATCCAGAACAAACGATCTTTTTTTAAGGATACGTAATAGGGCTATGTAAAACAGCAAAATTCTGCTTTGACATCCATTTCAATGGAACAGTGTTTGGTTATTTTGAAAGCACCGTTCCGTTTCATTGAAATGGTTTTGCTGCTGTTTCTATTGGGCTGCCATCAAACTGGGGAACTCAGCTCAGCTGGGTTCCCTTCCCCAGCCCTATGGTTGGGCTGGGGAACCGATCACAGTGCTGGGGAGGGGAACTCAGCTGGGCTGAGCTCCCTTCCCCAGCCCAATTGCAGCGCTGGGGAGGGGAACTGGCTCTGCCTGCCTTCTGCCACTGAGCTGAGCTCCATGGGGTTGGCAGAGCCAGTCTGAGTGCAGCCCAGTGGTGGGAGGTGGGCAGAACTGGCATTGTGCTCCCATCAGCTCCGCCATCCCCACTGAGCACAGCCCGGCTGCAGGAAGCAGGGAGAGCCAGGGCTGCGCTCCCCGCTGGGCTGAGCCACATGGAGCTGTGAAGCTGCTAGGTACACAGCCCTGGTTCTCCCCTGTTTCTCACCACCTAGCTGACTTCTTCGAAACTTGAAACATTTTGAAACTTTCAAAATGTTTTGACTGCCTTCGTTTTGTTTTGAGGCTGTTTTGAAGACTTTTGTTTCATTTTGATTTCATTGTTTCAAGCTCAAAATGAGTCAAAACAATGTTGAAACGAAACAGCCGGTGAAATTTTGCACAACTCTAATAAGTAATGGTTAATGGTAATAGTACCATGACTTTCCTTTTGAATTAGTAGATAGAGGCATCACTAAGGAAGTGGACAACCTGGGTCATATGTGCCCCTCAGCCTGAAATGGTTCAAATTCACACCTGTCATTTCCTAGGAGAATACCCTAACTCCTAAAGCTATGGAATAGGCTGAATGCTAGTATTCCCTACTTCTGTTGAAGAAGCTTGGCCTCTATGCAGTCAAAAATATTTGAAGAGTAGATAAATAAGAGTTACACTATACAAGTATAAAATAATTAGTGAGATAGAGTACCTATTAACCGTGCAGCTCAGGAGCAAGGGGAAACCCGGTAATATAAAAAAGGCAAAAATTGATAAATACTAATTTATGTAAAGCAAAATATATTTAAAACCTATACAACTTTCTTCCACAAGATGATATTGAGCAAAAAAATGTGGATTTTTTTTAAAGAAATAAAAATATCTTCACTCTCATTAATATAGCTGGAATAGAATTATGGTTATCAGCTTTCTTTCTTCAGGACTTTAGCCAGATGCTTAAAATTAGGAGAGACTTGCGCTATGAATATATTAGGCAGTTTTTGTGGGGGTTTGCATCATCCCTTGAAACATGTATTAAATATTGTTGAAGACAATGTATGGGAGGACATGGATGAGTGCAATTTAAGTCAATATGACAATTCCTACATCAATATTTCATTTTAAATAATTTATGAGAAACAAGAGGTGATACCACCTGTTATTCGGTGTTTCTTTCTTGTAGTGTGTTTACTACTTTCCTACTTCACCATTTTCCTTGTATTTAATATTCTGTTTATTATTCTGCTTCCCCCCTCTAGCCATCTCAACCAGGAAAATCTACCCCCTTCTATTTATCTTTGTCATCTCTGTAATAGCAAGCCAGCTTTGAAACCTTCTTCTAAGGTTAGGGAAGATCTTTTTTTCATGATCTTCTCATGTTCTAATGTCAGTATCTTCATGAGCCAGTTTAAAGTCATAGGAATAACATTTTCCCCACTACTAAATGGCATGGCTTATGCATTGTTCCTAGCTTCTGTTTTTTATGTTTAAATATAAAAGTTTCACAGTTCAAGTATAAATGTGATATTGGCCAAAACAGTTTTAATACCAGCTGTATAAGCACTGAAAAATTTGTCTCCTAAATATATTTTATTAGTTTATTTAGAGGGTTGTGGATAACCTTGAGAGCATTCAGAGGATGGCCACTCATATGGTTAGGGGTCCGAAGGTAAGGCCCTACTAGGAGAGATTAAGGGACCTGAATCTCTTCAGCCTCTGCAAGAGAAGGTTGAGAGGTGATCTTGTGGCTGTCCAGAAATTCACTGTGGGGGGACAGCAAGGGATAGGAGATGCTCTGTTTACCAGGGCACCCCTTGGAGTAACTAGAAATAATGGCCACAAACTGACAGAGAGCAGATTCAAGTTAGACATCAGGAAGAACTTCTTTATGGTAAGGGATGCCAGAATCTGGTATGGGCTTCCAAGAGAGGTGGTGCTCTCCCTTGTCTTGGGGGTCTTTAAGAGGAGACCAGACAAGCACCTGGCTGGGGTTGTCTGACCCCAGCGCTCTTTCCTGCCCAGGGCAGGGGGTTGGACTCAATGATCTGCTGAGGTCCCTTCTGACGGTAATATGTTTAAATCTATGAATAGTTATAAAAATCGTTTTCAATAATCTTTTTTCCTTTTGTTTTAATAAACACTGGATAATGGATAAGTCAACAATGTCAGTGCTATTCCAACTGCTGAGGATTTTACTGTATTGAAAGTATGGGGTTGCCCTCATGTTAAAGTATGTTTAATTCACCTTATTGTACACTTAACATTGTTACTCTTTGTTACAGATACTCTTTTATTACCACATGTATGGAACCAGCATTGGTTCTTTAATTGTCTATCAAGTGACATCTTCAGGGCAAGAAAAAGTCCTCCTCAACCTGACTGGAAACCAAGGGAATTACTGGCAGAGACACATATTGGGCCTGGATGCAGATGAAGACTTTCAGGTTACCTTTGAAGGACATGTTGGGAAAGGCCCCAAGGGTGACATAGCACTCGATGACATCACATTCACCAAGGAATGCTTGCCATCAACAGATGTCTCACTAGAAGAACCTTCAGCACTACCTCCAACAGGTACATTCCCATTATATGTTTAACAGTGTTGCAGCTCAAATTGGAAAAACTAGAAAGAATCTTGTTTGCATTTTTTAAAAGTATCTTAAAGTAACATATCTTGCAAACTTTTGTTTTAAAAAAAAGAATGTCATTTGAAGTAGCTTCTGGCATGTAACCAAAGTGTTTTGCAAACATACTGTCTAGGCAAGGAGTCAATGAATCTGCAGGAACTGGGCTAAGTGTGTGTTCTCAGTCCTGTTTAATTTAGTGGAACAATTAGTTTGTAAAATCAAGTGTAAAGAGGCAAAGGAGGAATTTTGTTGCTAGAGCCCACATGAAAAGATTGGGCTCAATCCCAGTGTGCAGCATGGGCTCTGGTCCCTGCTAACACCTCAGTGGACACAAAAGATGCATGAGGGATAGGCAGAAGACGAGAACACCCCTTCCCTGCCTCTACACTAGTTGCCAGAGTTGCTGAAAGGATGACAGAACTGCCATTCTAGCACATGCCCCCAATAATCCCTCAGGCTCCAACTGCAGTTAACAAGCCACCAAATTACTCACAGCTTCTAGTTTAGGCTGGGATTTAACATTCACACAATAAAATTTATTTTCCATTCACTCTGTGAGAGAGAGATTTGGAAGCAATGAGTCTGTAAAAGCTCTTCCCGCTTATAAGACTGCTTTTAGAAGCTAAGATCTGCTACTCTGTGTGTGAGATTTTGTGTATTGCATATTCATATAATATTCAATTCTCACTGACATCTTGGCATTTCTGCCATGGCTTGAGGCCAATGTAGTACAGTCAGGATTTTTTGCCTTTTGAAGGGAGGCATTTGTAATTGATTTCCATTTAATTGGGAGCCTGTTATTTCCCTCTGTCTCTTTTCCTTTGTTCATAGAAGGCTGTGGGATTCAGGAAGCTGTAATTTTTATTTTGTTGTTGATCTTTTGTTTGTTTTTTTCCATAAGGATGGGATTTACCATCAGATTATGTAGCTGCTTAAGCTTTATGACAAAAATAGTTCAAAGCAGTCTAGCTTTGTCTGTGGTAAGAACTTTGTACTTTTTCAGGGGGAGAATAATATTTCTCTAATTGATTATTTGATTTCACTTTCCTATTTCTTCCTTTCAGTGTAGAGACATATTTTTCTTTCTAATTTATTGAAAAAAGCAACAACAAAAATCTTCCAAAAAAGAATCTGACTAGACTTGGTCCGACATTATCAACTTAGTGATTTTTTGCTGAAATATGCTGTTTGAGATGCTCCCACTCTGAAGCCAAGTGGTTAAGGTCCTGGCTTAGGATGAAGGAAGATTTGAAGTTCAAGCCACCGTTTTGAATCTGAGCGATCTGGGATACAAATCTTCCATTCTAAATCAGGAACCTGAACACCCCACATCCCAAGCCAATATCATAACTGGATGGACAAATGAATGCACACCTCTTCCCAAATTAAACGTCTCAGAATTTACATGAAATTAGACACTGATATGCTATTCCATTTTTATAAAAAAATGTTTTCAATCCAATGAAAAATAAAAAAGAAATTTGTCGATCCTTGGCAGTTCCTGTGAAACATCTTGTTGTCTTGACTGTGGTCTGAACTTCATACGTGTAAGAAGAGTAGAACAATGGAGCAAGCAGACTGGAGAAACTGTGGAAACTCCTTCACTAGAAGATTTCATTGACAGGCTGGAAAGTCATTCATCTAGGACAGTTTAGAATAGTGAATCCTTCATCTGTGCAGTGGTTGAACTAAAGGACTATATGATATAATACCATTCTTTGATTCTATCCTCTAGTGCAGGAATGGGCAAAGTCCAGCCCATGGGCTGGATCCAACTGGCAGTAGACTCCATTCCCAACAGCCCCTGTCCATGTGGCTAGCACCAGTTTCCATTGGTTTTCATAGAAACTGGCCCTAGCAGCACTGTAAGCCTCTTCCTGGTGGGGGAGGTCTGTGCTGCAGGCAGGAGACAGACGGGCTCTGCTGCTGCCACCTGTGTGGGGCAGGCAGTGGCAGCACCACTGGGAAGGGTGGCTATGGGGAATTTTGAGGTGGCTATACTCCCCTCGCACCACCCCTGCTGGCAGGGCATGTGGCAGGGCACAGAACTGCTCTGGAGCCTGGCTGAGATCTTGTGGAAGTGACATTGTGATTGAGAGCCAAGGCAGAGCTGCAATTTGCAGCCTGCATGCTCCAGGCAGGGTTGTGCAGGCAGTGGATCATGGCTCTGCCCCAGCTCCAGATCACCCTGTCACTGCTGTAAAGAGCTGGAGCAGAGCTGCAATCCATGACCTACATGCCTGCCCAGGGCACGTAGGCTGCAGATTGTTGCTCTGCATCATGCTGTCACTGCTGCAAAATCCCAGCCTGGCCTTGGAGCAGCTCTGCGCCCTGCTGCATGCCCTGCCAGCGCTGCTGGGGCCAGTCTCCATGGAAACCCCGGCCTTCGTGCTATCACAGTGCAGCTGCTGCTGGGATCTCCATGGAAACCAGCCCCAGCCATGTGAACAGGGGCTGCTGGGAAATGGAGTCTGGCGTCCAGCTGGATCCACCATTTTGCCCACCCCTACTCTAGTGAGCCCTAATTTTACCTTCCTGTGATTCCATTCCTGATATATATGGCTTAGTTCCTGTCACTAGCCACTGATTTTGTAGGCATGATGATACGTAACTGGTCTCAACAATGACTGGAAGTTGTTTCACAGACCAGTAATAGATATGATATATAGTAAGATAATGGTTTGGTTGATGTTTACTATTATTCCAGAGGATTTTCTATGAAAGCTGATGCAAAGTCAATAACAAAGTAAATGGTCATGGAGCTAGAAGATGTAAAGTTTTGTTTATTGGACCATTATTATTTATATATGTTTTATCACTTTAGTGAGGTACCGTATTCAGTTTCCTTGCACAATCATTTAATTTTTTAACTATATTTATTAATTAATCCAACTTATCAAATCACAAATTTAATACTTAAAAATAAATCCAGCCCCCTAAAATATATATAGAGAGATATATATTTTCCATCTAGAGAGCTCCATACACAGTCTTCTTGGAAGCATTTAATGCTCTCCAATCTGTATGTAGAGTACTTTAAGCTCTTAAACCTGCATTGCTCTCTCATGATTCCAAAGTCTCTCCATTAACAGCATAGGGATTCTAGCTGCCTAATATTGTCAACTTGAATTGTATTCCAGAGCAAATCCTAGGCATTGCATTATTTAAAGACCAAATTTGAATCCTTGCATTCATCTCTTTGCTTCCTTTCCCTAACAAAAAAATGAAGCTAGTATTTCCCCACCTGACTGGGGCATGGGAGTATGAATCAATTACTTTACATGAGATACTCTTCAGCATTGAATCCATCTGAGCTGGCGTCTGATTCTAAGCTCATAGTGAAGCCTGATTAGATTTGAAAATCACTTCTATTTTTGGCTGAAGTACATCCTTCATAATCCCTTATATCCTTACAATACTGTCCATTCCTCATTTCTCACAATCATTTTCTGGCCCTCATTATAGACAAGATCAATACTTGTGAAGTAAAATATTACATTATTGTGCCTGCTACATTGTGCAATTGCTGAGGTTTCTATTTCTTCCCTGCCTGATGTTTTTGGACTTGCTTGACCTAACAGTAGGTGACAGTCCCTGTGGCAACATTTCAAACTTTAAAAGCTATGGTTTTGATTGTAAAAAATGTTTTGAATAGCCTTTTGAACAAAAAAAACCCTATTAAAAAGCTGTATGGGCCTCAGAAACAGTCACAAGGGACCTATTCCTTGAAGTAGTATGTCCTAGATGTAATGTGTGGAACTTTACAGATTCACAGCACTTTTAAAGTGAAGGTATGAGTATTTTATTGGTGTCCATATTATATAGTGTCTACATAAGTCTATTTGTCTTGACCCAGCTAAATAATTTTTGTTTGTCTTAACCAGGGATAAGTTGGTTTTCAAAGATTCCAGGCTGGAGCTACTATTAAACAATATTTTCTTGGATTAAGGGATCCTTTGATCTCTGTGGCATGGGAAGACAAAATAGCACACAGAATTGTGCAAGGAGGATAAAGAGAAACCAAAGCATTTAGTCTTGGTTTCAAATAGATTATGGTTACATTTTATAAAGACTCCTCAGAACATAGTTATGTGGCCAGCAGATATCTGGTTGCTTGTTCCTTGCCATTTAATGAGAGGGGTTTGGCTAGCAAGGTTGGCATTACCAACAATGAGGACCAGGCCCTGTACTTTTCATATATTCTCTTTGACAAAGTAGGACTGATGTTGATGCAGTTTTTTTTCATCCAGATATATGCTTCAATATGACATAAAAAAGAATCAGGCATGTCACTGTGCTTATTTGTATTTGTTCTCACTCCAAATGTATCTCTGATTGTGTTGCCATCTTTGACTACATTTTAGGATTCAAACACAAATGGGAATAATGCTGGTAAACAGATTGTGATGTCCTGACTGACATGGTTGTTTCTCATTCTCTGGAGTTACTAGTGAAATGGCAAATTGTAATGGTATAAATCCATGGTTCATAGAATCATAGACTCATAGAAGTAGGGTCGGAAGGGACCTTGTAGATCTCCAAGTCCAACCCCCTGCCTGGCCAGGAGGGAAACTGGGCTCAAATGATCCCAGCCAGGTAGCTATCAAGCCGCTTCTTAAAGACCCCCAGGGTAGGAGCCAGCACCACTTCCCTTGGAAGTTGGTTCCAGATCCTAGCCGCCCTAACTGTGAAGTAGTTCCTACGGATGTCTAATCTAAACCTACTCTCCAACAACTTGTGGCCGTTATTCCTTGTTATCCCGGGGGGTGCTAGGGGAAACAAGGTCTCCCCCAAACCCTTCTGGTCCCCCCCTAGTGAGTTTATAGACGGTCACCAGGTCCCCCCTCAGCCTTCTCTTGTGAAGGCTGAACAGGTTCAGGTCCCATAGCCTCTCATTGTAGGGTCTGCCCTGCTGTCCCCGGATCATGTGGGTGGCCCTCCTCTGGA